GCTTTTTCACATCTCCTAGCCCAGCCATTTTCACGTAGTGTGCAGGCTGCAGGTCTGAAGATGTAGAAATCTTTCTCCTAGGATGCCAGCAGGAAAGAGTAACTCTCAGATGCTGCAGGCCCTGAGAGGGGCAGAGACTCTGCGTGCACAGCCTCACTGAGCCAAATGGCTGCACTTAAGCGCCTTCACTTTCGCTGGATCATGAAGTAGTGTCCATGTGATTGCTGGCACAAGGCAGACCCCAAGAGAAGGCAGGAGAGGCAGTTTCTGTAGCTGCCCAATTGTCTGACCTGCAGCTGATGCCCTGGAACCCCATGGCTGTCAATTGAGATAGCACAAGGCTCAAGATCTTCCTCTTGTCCCCCCTAAACTTAACCTATACCTTCCCCCTTGCTAACGGATCCTTCAAAACATTCAAGGAACACTGATGCCTGCTCTCCACACTCAGCTGGTGAGACAACCCCCGCACCCGGTGTCCTCCGCTGTTCCCTCCCTCCCCAATAACACCTGGGACTTCAGAAAGAGCACTCCAGTTCACCCCCAGCTCTTCCTGCCCCAAGGCCACCCGTATCCCTTCACATCCTGATGCCACCCTCTGAGAAGTAAGTCCACACTGGAGAACAGGAAAAAGGGTTTAATTGTTGTCTACATATTCTATAAGAGAACCATGACAATCACAAGTAAATCTAAACATCAAGAGCATTTTTTTCTAACTTAAAAAATCTGTAAGTTGGAAAAAGAAGGAATGCTTTCTACTGCAGTTTAAGAACTTCGATTGTTATGTCGCAGGCTCCTTCCAGGGCATCAGTTGAAGGGGCGCTGTGGGCTGGAATTCCTCTCCTGTCCGGCTTCCACCCTGCTTTACGCCCCGGTTTTCTGCAGCTTCCGAGGGCAGCCTGGGCTCCTGGAGGCGATGTGGCCGTGGGTCTGTCCCCCTCCGCTGGCGCGGGCATCCCCCGGCTGGTTCAGGCCCCAGTGGGCAGCGCTGCCGGTCGCATCTACCTCTTGTTGCGGTGACTGCAGCTCCACCGCGGTTTCAGCCTGGACGCGGGGGTCTCGGCAGCGTTTCCGGCCCCCCTCAACTCGGGGACCGGCTCCGGGCCCGGGGCAAGCGTGGCGCAGCAACCCGCACGCACAGTAGTGCCCGTCCCCGCAGAAGTGGGGGTGTTGGCAGGAGCGGCGGCTCAGCGCCGGGAAGTTATCCAGCGCCCAGGCCCAGGCCAGTTCTCGGCTCAGGCCCGGCGGCACGTGGGGCTCCGGACGTGCCCGCCAGCAAGACAGCTCTTCCAGCGTCGGCAGGCGCGGATCCATAGCTTGGGTCTCCGAGCGGGCGGGGCGCGCCGCCAGTCTAGGAGAAGAGGCAAGCGATGGAGGCCGGCGCTGAGCGGGGCCTTTTATACTGCTCTGGGGGTCTAGGAGGTAGGAAAAGACCATCCAAATCCTTGGAGTATTTGCCCTGCAAATTGCCTCAGAGCCTGATAGGATTAAGGAGAAAATCGCATCATTCTGGCGGGCGCTGTTGAAATTCGAAGGGTTTTTGATGACTGAATCAGGCAGGGGAAGAATTGGCGGGTGGGGAGAAGGGTCCAGTTATTGACAGCTTCTACTGGATATAGAAAGACATGTTTCCGACAAGCCTAGACTAGTTACACTTACTTTATCTAATTCTCTTCCCGCATATCAGAGAGGCATTGCCTGGTAGTGGAGATGAAACTCTGGTGAAGTTGGATCATAATCCAAGATCACAAAACCAGTTCATGTGAGGGCTGGCCTGGGAACCAAGGTCCTTAAGCATGTGTCTCAGGTAAGGGAATGAGCAGAGGAATAATGAGGTTGGGTAGGGAAAAGGAGAGTCTCATACCTACTTAGAATTGTAATTTTTCTATTTTTGTCTACACTAAATTACCTGAAAGGGACATTCAAAATTGCTATGATTTGCATACCCTGTAGGCAAGTGGGTTGACTTAAAGTCACATTTTCAAGTGTTTTTGCTGAACTCTATCCTTTTTGAGTGCAATTATGGGTATTCTTAGCTATTTTCCTTATTCAGTTTCCCTTCTTCCACTGCATACTAATACTATTTTATTTTAAATGTGTATTTTCCTATCAACCAGTCTTGTAATATGTGATTTATTTTTTGTTTGCTTTTATTTTCAATTCATGTAAAAACTATTAGATTGTATGTTAATTTATTTATCATTTTGCACTCATTTGCAAATTTCTAAGATCTTTATATGGACATTTGAGCTGTTGCTTCCAAGTCTGGCATATTTGCCTGTGATGAATCCCTGCCAGTCTTTACCTATCTGCTCTCCCCAATGGATACTCAGATTGCCACACGGTCACCTTCACCACCTATATGAGTCCCTTGCAGACCTGTGAGAGAATTTCTCTAGGCTATGAACCCATGAGCAGAATTGTGCCATAGAAAACATATAAACCTAATTTTACTGAGTTCTGCCAGATTGTTCTTGAGCATGAATGCAGCATTTACCTACCAACAGTGCATGAGGATTATTCCATGCACACATCCCTCACAAGCCCTTGGAAGGACCCAGCATTGGAACACTTACCAGGGGTGGTGTGGTTCTGAAGAGATTAGCTGTGGTGGTGGCTGCCTGATTCATTGTGTTCTGATTTCTGCCAGTGTCTCTCTTGATATGTGTGCTTTTGAGAGCTGTTCTCTGATGTTCAGTCTAAAATCTGTGGTCACCTTTCTGTTGGATTTGAAGTTATCTTTATCTGCTCAAACCCTTTATGCTTAAACAATTAAGTGTTTCTGTTGCAAAAAATAAAAACCAAAAAAAGAAATGATAGTAGCCTCACATTCAGCTTCATACTTTATTTTTATGTTTTATTTATTTTTAAGATTTTATTTGTCAAAGATAGAGCACAAGCAGGGGTGGGGGCGGCAGGCAGAGGGAGAAGCAGACTCCCCTCTGAGCAGGGAGCCCGATGTGGGACTAGATCCCAGGACTCTCTGATCATGACCTGAGCCGAAGGCAGACACTTAACTGACTGAGCCACCCAGGCATCCCAACTTCATACTTTTTTAGCTTATTGCTACCTCTTTTCTTTTTAACAAACTCGATAGAATGAATTTGATTTTCCTTATAAGATAGTTAAGTATTTGAAGTATTTTTTTCTATTTTCAGGGTATTTCAAGATTTTTTTTTTTTTAGATTTTATTTTTAAGTAATTTATACACTGAACATGGGGCCTGAGCTTACAGTCATGAGATCAAGAGTTGCATGCTCTACGGCTGAGCCAGCCAGGCACCCCCATTTCAGGAATGTTAGTTTGTCATTGTCCATGATTTTTAGATGAGGAAAAGGTAAATATAAAAGAAAAAACAAATTCCCTTCATTATTGCACCTTGAAATTTTACATTTTCCCTTTCTTATAAGCCCTTCCACCAAGAAATAAATTATTTAAATAAAGACATTCTGATCCTTTCTGAATGTGTTAATTTCATTAACACAGGGATTTTGGGGCAGGAGCCAGGAGGGCTGTTTCCCAGGACCTCCTCCGAAGCTGGTGGGGTGGCTGCTGATCCTGATCATACGTTCAAGCCTGACTCTATGGCTGGGAGCGAGAGAGGGCAGAGAAAATGAAGATATAGGAACTCTTCCTTAGCTAAACTCAGAAGAATTGTTCAAGCAGAAATATATCCTACTTGAGTGGATTCCCAGATCCCTGCCTCATTGTATATCCACTCCAAGACTTGCCCAGATCTTAAGGCTGACTTTGTGAGGCTAAAATTGGCACTCCTTTGCCACTGGCCACATTGAACACTTTTTACCCCCTTGCTCAGGACCAAAGGAGAGGAGACCTCTAAGTTCCTACCACCAGTCTGTCTCAAGCATAGCAGGATCAGAGCTTTGTCCCCTACCCTTTGCCCTTCTCCAGCTTAATACCTTTATTCAGAGTACTGAAGGGAAAAAGGCACTTCCTCACATATGTACCCTCCCTTTCAGTTCTGTCTACTATTGAGAAAGAACACAAAACATTTATGAAGGCCTATAAAAACAACATTTATTGTCTTATTAGTGACTAAATGAAGAGACTTTTATAACTGAAAAGTCTCTAGAAGAAGGGCAAAATACAAATTCCCAGCCTGACCCCTCAGCTTTCCTAAGGCCATGGTCACGGCTCACTGTTCAAAAGTAGCATGTATCCGGGGTGGGGGAGGACAGCATCATTCTGGAGGTCCCCACCACCATAGATCTCAGGCTCCAGGGGTGTGTCCAGAGTTGGATGGATCTGGCTAAGAGCCAGACATGGCAGGTAGCTGCCCCAGTGTTCTGCAGTGCCCTGTTCTCCGGGGGGCTGACTGACTCCTTCTGGCTCGTGGGTGATGACTCCTAGGCAGACAGGTCTAAGTCTGGTTCCAAAGTGTTCTGGGCTCTAGACGAGTGTCTGTGTTGAGGGCAGGCCCGGCTCAGTGGCCCACACAGACTGGAAAGCAGTTCCCAGTTGAAATATAGACTGTCCCACTGGGGTTCCCCCAGCTTAGGGTAGAAAGGGAGTGGCCACGGCCCCAAATCTTTTGAGCTCAGAGACAAAGGCAGCTGAGGTTCCAGCACTACCTCTGCGGAATCCCAAGCCTGCTTCACACAGTGGCAAAAGGGCTGGTCCATGACTTCCACCTCTAGATCTGGAGAAATGGAGTGTCTGGACAGAGAGAGGAGGCAAAGGACTGAGCTTAGCGTGGGAATTTATACTGTTTGATCTCTTGTGCAGTCCCAAATTATAGTGCATTAGGTAGGGTGGTAACACTACTTTTTGAGACAAATTGCTTCAGAAGGCTGAGTGTGATGATGTTAAGTCAAAAGTATAATTGTATTGATCATAATTTTATGAAATTGAACTGGTATCAGTGACTAATTGGATTAAGGTTAAAAACAAGAAAGACCACAAATGGGGTTACTGATTGTGAAAAACCAGATATACTCTGTGTCCTTTAAATATGTGATATCTGATGTTCTCATCACCTGAAATCAAAGCACAGGCTACGCTAGAGCTGAGATGAAAACCTGGGTCTCCAGAGTGATTTCTGTAGAGAAGACGGGTTTGGAGAGGCTGCGGGGACCAAAGTAATTGATCAGTTCTCCAGTCTTGACTTGGACTCTCAACTTCCTGTTTTGGTCCTCTACTTTTGAACTCCTAAATTATAACAACTGAGAGGAGAAAGACAAAGGAGGTTTAGGTATCAGAAAGTTACATATTTTGGTTCCAGTTCTTATTTCAACCTTTACTAAATATATGTAATTATTACTTAAACTCTCTAAGCCAGTTTTTTTTTTTTAATCTGTGAAGGGAGGACAAAAATACTAATTTCAAAAAGCAGCGGTGAGGATTTAATAAAATAATGTAGGTAAGAAACAAAACAGAGGATCATCAGGGAAGAGAGGAAAAAATAAAACAAAATGAAACCAAAGAGGGAAACAAACCATAAGAGACTCTTAATCTTAAAAAACAAACTGAGGGTTGCTGGAGGGAAGGGGGAGAGGGATGGGGTAACTGGGTGATGGACATTAAGGAGGGCGTGTGATGTAATAAGCACTGGATATTATCTAAGATTGATGAATCACAGACCTGTACCTCTGAAACAGATAATACATTATGTCAATTAATTGAATTAAAATAGTTAAAATATAAAATATAGTTAAAAATAATATAGGTAAGGGGACACACAATATAATTAATAACCTTTGTAAAGGTATAATCATTATTATTTGATCAATGCTATTATGGTAGGAGTCCATGGTTCTATCATGGTATTTTTTTTAAAGATTTATTTATTAGAGAGAGAGAGAGAGATCGAGCATGCATGGGCGACCACAGGGAGGGGGAAAGGGAGAGAAGCAGACTCTGAGTGCTGAGCTCAGGTGGGGCTCAATTCCCACGACCCTGAGATCATGACCTGAGCTGAAATCAAGAGTCTTGTGCTTAGCCAACTGAGCCACCCAGGCGCCCCCTATTCCCTATTATGGTTCTTTATCCCTACGAAGAACAAATGGAAAACGTGGCTTTTAAGAAATGTCTCTCATACAAGTAGATTTTTACATTCTTGCATTGGATCCACAGTAAAATTGCAGCCAGTATACCTATTCTCTGTTCAGCATTTTGCATGATCAGTTTCCTCTTCAATGTGATCAACGTTGCATCATCATTCAATTAACAGGCATATAATGAAAGCCGGCCCTTTGCCAGGTGTTGTGAAAGGAGCTACACGTACAGAGACAACGAAGGCCCCATTTCACCTCTTCTGCCTGAAGCAGGTGCAGGATTTTGCAGCCCCAGAACTTGAGCCTGAAAGGGATCTGCTCACTCTGGGGAACTGCTCTCTGAAAAGCACTGAGCAGGCAGGAACCCCATTCAGCCTCCCTGGGGACTGCTTGGCTCCACTGTTAAAGACATCGGCAAGGTCTGGACACGGAGCCTGATCTCTGCCCGGCCGGTTGGGGCCCAAGCCCCGGTCCTGGGCCCGAGAGCCCGAGGCAGCCCAGGGGAAGTCCTGGTCCACCGTGGTCGGCCAGCGCAAGTGTCCCAGGGAGGCGGGGCCCGGCAGGAGGCCGGTCGCGCACCCAAAGGGATTTCCGCAGCCAGCTGGAGCTTCCGCTGTCTCGACACCCATCCCCCCCCCGTCGCTCTTTCAGATCCACCCCCTCCACTGCCGGCCCTCGCCCCGCTACCGCCTCCGCGCTCCCCGCTCTCTTCCGGTGGGTGGGGAGCTGGGCGCAGCGCGGACCCGGGCCCGAGCCTTGCGTGCGCAGCCGTCCGAGGGCCTCCGCGCGGGGCCCCTTTCCTTTCCGTGCCCTTCGTCTTCTACGCATTTAAAGTGTTTTCTGAACGAAATCATCCGCTTTGGTCAATAATAACGTGATAGGATTTGTCTTTACGGGTTTTAGAGATTAAGAGGGAATGTTTTTCAGGGAAATTTTAACCCCTGCCCCCAAAGTAACAATCATTTCACTAATTTATTCATTCACCTGTGAAGCACGAGAGCAAAAAAATCCTCAAATAAACGGGAAAATGCAAGTCCTCTGCATCCGCCTTTTGTCTTCCAGGTTAAGCCTGACACGTTTTTGACGATTAGCACGCGTTTCAAATCTAAATAAGACTAGTGGCTCAAGGACAGAGCATCATTAGCTAACGAAAAGAAACAAAAAACGCATTCAGAACCAGCAGGCAGCGACTAGGCATTAAAGAACAAAGTTTAAAAGTAACACAAGAATGGGGAGCACAAAGAGAGTGGATCCTGAGTGTTTTCAGCACACACACGTAACGACGTGAAGTGATGGATATGTTAATTAACATACTGTTGATTGTGGTAATCATTTCGCATTGTATACAGTATATTAAATCCTTATGTTGTATATCTCAAAAAACTTAAAGGGGAGCATAGAAAGAAGTTTGAACCAGAGGGAGAAGCTTCCTCCAGATGAAACAAGTTTCTACCCTGTTCTATCGCCCAGTACTTTCCAGCAACACAATTATATCTGTTATCCCACAATGCACCCACAGCCATATCAGAATAACAATTCCAAAACCAAGAATGCGATTACCAAAAACCACAATTTTGGGGCACTTAAAAGTCTTTGGTCTATCCCACTAGAGAGATATAGTAAAATCACTTTTTAAAAAGTCACTTGAAATAGTTCCTCCTGGTGTGGTTATGACACAAATTTGTTACACATTTAGGACTTTTGTTGTTCATTTTGGTTTCAATTCTTAAGAATTATTTTATATAGGGGCGCCTGGGTGGCTCAGTTGGTTAAGCATCAGCCCTCGGCTCCGGGCATGATCCTGGGGTCCTGGGACCCAGTCCGCATTGGGCTCCCTACTCAGTGGGGAGTCTGCTTCTCCCTCTGCTTCCCCTGGCTTGTGCTCTCTCTCGCTCAAATAAATAATACCTTAAAAAAAGAATTATTTTATATAGTCACAAGACAATTTTTTAAAGTATTAAATTTTCCCAAACCAAATCTATAAATTATATTCAGAGGTGTTTAGCTTCTATTCAAGCATCCTCCACTGTTCTTTTATATTCATATATATGGAGAGAGAGAGAGAGACACTGACGATATTCATTTCCTTGCTTTTCTTCACTTAATATATTTCCAGCACCAGCTTCTCCCTTGGCTGCAATCTTTTCCCCATCTTTCAGGATTCCATAAGGGTGTTCTCCTCACTACATTTTCTTGTTGGTAAAGGACACAATTTGTGATGGAAAATTGAGATTTCTTCCTCCCCACCTGTCTTACTGATTTAGAATGAGAAAATTAGAAGGGTAAGGGCAAAGGGTTAGGAACGGGAGAAAAGGGATTCCCATTCAAGAATGAAGGTACTTAACCTTGATTAATAATTAAAAGCATTTGGATAAATGGATTCTACTTTACTGGTTTCCTACCATTTGATGTGAAAAGATAAAGATTCTCTTGATCTCTCATTGCCTATTATTGTTTTGAGGTTTGTGAAAAGAGGTTTTAGAAAACAGGGAAAATATTTAAAACCTGGCTAGAGCGGAAGGTAGTGATGATTCATAAAGTGTATTTATTATTAATCACTCTACAGGTGATTGAACCTAAAATGTCTTTACTGAGATTTAAAATAGTTTTCACAGCCTAAAAAACACTCCTTATTCTCCAACATCATTAAAACCTTGGAGCGCATTCAGAAATTTCAGACTGCACTCTGTCTCTGCACTATTGTCCTGAAGATTTTTTTTTTTTTTTAAGATTTTATTTATTTGACAGAGAGAGATACAGCGAGAAAGGGAACACAAGCAGGGGAAGTGGGAGAGGGAGAAGCAGTCTTCCTGGCTGAGCAAGGAGCCCGACGCGGGGCTCAATCCCAGGACCCTGGGATCGTGACCTGAGCCGAAGGCAGATGCTTAACGACTGAGCCACCCAGGCGCCCCAAGACGAGTGTTTCTGACCGATTCCCAGTAGCAACCATGCAGAGCTTTGTTTATACTTGGATACTATCTGCCTCCCCGTGCCCAACCGCCACGCTCCCAACGCATTTTCATACCTCCCCTGGCAAAGACCTTTCCTTCTCTCCTTTGCGCTGGCAAGCCCGTGCTGCCGCAGTCGCCCACAGGAGGGTTTGAATGTTCATGGAAAACAAAAAAGGCTCTCTCCCCCCTTCCCTCCCCTCCCAGCGGGGCCAGAGGTAAGCTAGGATTTATAGTCTAACTTGCTACTGAACGTGTGGTCAGCAGACAGCACAAGCATCACCTGGGAGCTTGTTAGAAATGCAGTATCCCAGGCTCTACCCCCAGACCTACTGAATCTGAATCTCATCAGTGGCAGGTGATTTGTGTTCACATTTGAGCTGAGAAACACTCTGCAAGATCCGGAGTTTGGGAACCAGCTCCTTGTAAGAAGAGGTCTGGGGGACACAGAGGCCCGATGTGGTCATCAGATCCTTGGTCACAGGCTTTGGAACACAGGTGGCACCCTTGCTGCTCAGCCCAGAATCACTGTTCCTGGGACAGGTCAGGCTGCCTCCCGCAAAGCCCTTGCCAAACGGGCCCTGTGATTCCAAGCTAGATGAAGCCAGAGTCTCCTCTTGGTAATTTCTACGAGGTAACCTCCAGGCAGCTGAAGTACTGCAGTGTCTCTCTCTCTCCTCATCCCCCTCCTCCTCCACCTCCTCTCTCTAAATGTGAGGGCAGGGCATCTGGGTGGCTCAGGTCATGGTCCTGGAGTCCTGGGATCCCTGCTCAGCAGGGAGTCTGCTTCTCCCTCTGCCCTTCACCCTGCTTGTGCTCTCTCTCGCTTGTGTGCTCTCTCTCTCAAATAAATAAATAAAATCTTTTAAAAAATTTTTTTAAAAAGAAAAAAGAAATGTGAGGACAGTTACTTTTCTGTTATTGGGAATTATTGTGGAACTGCTAGTCCATGGTATTTTATACACAAATTAAAATTGTTTGATTTTTGTTGGGCAGTTTGAACTAAAGGTTGAATCTAGAGGCAAATGGCAAGATCCTTATGAGTGGCTAAAAAAATTTTTTTTTGTATGAATGAATATTAAATTTTCATCAAATGGTTTTTCTTTTTTTTTTTTTTTTAAGATTTTTATTTATTTATTTGACAGAGAGCGCGAGGGCATGAGAGAGGGAACACAAGCAGGGGGAGTGGGAGAGGGAGAAGCAGGCTTCCCGCGGAGCAGGGAGCCTGATGTGGGGCTCGATCCCAGGACTCTGGGATCATGACCTGAGCAGAAGGCAGACGCTTAACAACTGAGCCACCCAGGCACCCCCCTTTTTTTTTTAAGATTTTTATTTAATCAAATGGTTTTTCTATATCTGTTGAGGTGATCATAAGATTTTTTTCTTTTATTCTTTCAATGCATGGAGTTGCATTCATCAATCTGTCCCTTGGATACACCTAATTTGGTCTCAGTGTATTTCTTTTTTTATACATACTGCTGTTTCCAATTTCCTAAAGGGAAAGGGAAGCTGAAGGGATTCCATAAAAATCTGCTTTTTTCCCCCTTTTCCTGCTTGTATTCTTGCTAGGACGGGCACCCCCACCTTACACATGCCTTATCATACAAATAGTGTATGTCCTCCTTGTAAGGAGGAGAGTTAATGATTTCTTTAGGGCCTTCCAGCACAATACTATCTATTGTGAGCATGACTGGATGAAGCCAACATGTGCATATTCCCGACGACCAGCGCTAGACATCTTGACACCAAGACCCCCTGGCTCCAAGGAATAGGTGACTTACGGAGGACACCTTGTCTTTGTTCTCACTAGTTCCTGGATGCCTGAGAGGACATGTACACCAGTCCTTAATCCTCAGTAGAAACCCAGACCCAGACTCCTTTCCTTTCTGAGACTCCTGGACACTCTGTCTCTACCTGCGGCTCTCTCTATACCTTCAACAAACTCTGCTCTCGCTTCCTGCTGGCTACAGTTTGATTTCTATCCTCTGTGAACCCAAGGACGCTCTTGGTCCTCAGGCCCAGCCAGCCTATATCACTAATACTTTGTTAGAATATTTGAATTACTGTTCATAACTGAGATTTCCCAGAAGTTTTCCTTTGTTTTGCAATATCTTTTTCAGATTTTGTATCAAAGTTATTTTGGCCTCACAAAATGAGGTGGGAAATATTCCCTTTCTCTGCTCTCTGAAGTTTGTGCAAGTGTAGAGTTATTTCTTCCTTTAAAAAGCTGGCTTCCCAGAGGGACAATGTTGAAGGCAATCAATCCTGGTAAACAACAAGACTTGGTTGGACCCCAGCCCCAGATCTTGCCAGGGTAGGGGTGGGATACATTCTGAACCATGAATGTCAACATGGCTAAATCTATAATGTGAAGAGATATCAAAAACCACAGTCTTGAAATATACTTGTGACTTAAACAGAATCATTGCACAGTTAATTCAAATTATTTTTTTCAGTGAACTCCAGTTTTTTTTTTCTACCAACAAGAATGAGTCACAATGTGGGGTGCCTGGGTGGCTCAGTTGGTTAAGCGTCAGCCTTTAGCTCAGGTCATGATCTTGGAGTCCTGGGATCGAGCCCCATGTCAGGCTCCCTGCTCAGGGGGATCTGCTTCTCCCTCTGCCTCTGCCCCTCCCCTGCTTGTGCTCTCTTGCTCTCTCTCTCTGTCAAATAAATAAATAAAATCTTAAAAAAAGAGAATGAGTCACAATGTAATTTTACTGATACAAAGAAAAAAACTCAAATTTATCATAAAATTGAAAGTATTGTACCTGGAAATTTTATATAATTTAATATTTACTGTTTTCCTGAACAATTTGTGTTTTTATCATAATCATAATATTAGAAAGTAATGGTTTTTAAAACCAAGCCCCATAAACCTCTCCCCAGTCATCTTCGCTTTATCCTAGGTGCCAAATATTTTCATCTTCTATGTATGCCAGGATATGAAAACATTGACCAGTGTTGTGTGAGATTATAGTACAACTTAGTTACAAACTATATTTATATTCCATATTTTTCAAAACTACTCCTATAATTGTAACTTATCTGACTTAGGAAAATAAATCTTTGATAGTTTAAAGCCTCATCCATTTCCATTTTTATGAAAAAATGGAATGTCTGCAAGGATGAATGCATGCTTACAATCCAGTAATGCTTTCTGTGGTCACTGCACTGAGTGCAAACTATTATGTCACTTCAGACAGCAGAAACATTTAAAAAATACTGGAATTCATAATTTTAAGAGACCTTACTGCTGGCCAGAAGTCCCAGTTAACTTTTAGCTTTCCTACCACACCTCTTATGGTTCCAGGTGCTGAGATATTCAGCCCTACAAGAAGTGTTTGAATAATCAAGACAAATTTGAAACATTTCCTCTGAACTCAGATGAAGTCAGAAGGAACATGTAAGTCCTAACTGGGCCATAGCTCCACCAGAACATTTCCTCCCTCTTTCTCATTCCTCTTCTTTGGTTCCATATTTACCCTCTCTAGTACATCTTCTGCCTATCCTTTGCCAGATGACTCCTCTTCTCCATGAAATCTCTTCTTCTCCTTCTCATTTTTAAAAGATTTTATTTATTTATTTGAGAGGGAGGGAGTGAGTGAGTGAGAGAGCACGTGCTCAAGTGAGCACAGGAGCAGGGGGAGAGGCTGAGGGAGAAGCAGACTCCCCACTGAGGAGGGAGCCAGATTCTAGGACTCCATCCCAGCACCCAGAGATCTTGACCTAAGCTGAAGGCAGACACTTCACAGACTGAGCCACCCAGGTGCCCCCCCCCCCCCCCGTGCAATTTCTTCTTAACAACCAAAGAACTCAATAACATAAACAAGCATTAATAGGCTGAATTTCAAAAGGAAATTCCCACCACAGCACAGATACTATTTGCTCACAGCTAGGGGTCCAGGGGTGGGGTTATGGGGCACCCCAGGAATGGGATCAGTCATAGATCTGAGCCTTACCACCACCAAGCATAAAGGTCTGGAGGTCTACATGTCCCCTGGGACTGCAAGTGGAAGAGCCCCAGAGCAGGCAGTTAATCTAGTGAGTCAGGCAGATAAAAGTGGTGGAGTCACGGGGGAGTGAAATGGTACAATTGTCCCTTTTGGAGGCTGGTTTCCTGTTGTCCTTAAGCTCTGGAGTAACATCTTAAATAATTAAAAAAACAAAAAAACAAAAAAACAAAAAAACCTTCCCTCCCCAATAGCGCCTTTCTATGTAGAATTAGCCTAGCCCTTCACTTTGGAATCCCCAGCCCTCCCTGCCCCTCCTGCAACCCCCAGTCGACTTCTTCCCTCCAGTCCTCACACTGTGTCCCCTGCTGGCCAGAAGCCACATCATCCCATAAAGATGGGATTGGAGGACTCTGGTAGGCAAAAGAGGTAGAGAAATGGAGAGGACAGTTTAGAGGGTCTTTTGGAAAACTAGCAAAGCAAAATTCGCTCTATACTTGTGAAAGCACTTTATTCACTGCTAACCATAATATTTCTATAGCATGTCCAGTGAATGTTAGCCCTGAAGAGATACAATTATTTCTGTATATTTTCCACTCAAGCCGCTCAGGCAAGGAATTTCTCTTTCTAGGCTCATATACGTATTATCTTCATTTGTATCTGACAACTTCTGTTAACAAGTCAAAAACAAATGTTCACTGTCACTTGTCTACTATTTATTTGTCAATCAACTGAAGGTCAGAAATTAAAAATTCAGTTCTCTATTCATGAATATTTATATCCATTCCTACACACATACTTACACATCATATACCAGGCACTGTGCTATGTAGTGGAAACAATGAAGAACGATATAGATATGGTTCTACACTCGTCAACCACCATCCCTTGTAATTCATCGGACTCTGGAGAGGGACCAGGATGCTTTCTCAATGTATTTTTTCTGTCAGCTCCATTGGTAGCAGAAGATGATGTTCCATAGATTCTTGGTGTATGTTACGCCACTTGGCTCATCCTTCATTATCCTATTCTTTGAGCACCAAATCAAGTCCTGGAAGGAACCTAGGCATACATGAGGAACTGGAGTAAGATTAGGTTGTTAGGGCTGTAGTTCAAGTGATTATGAACTTACCTGTGGCAGCTTATTGTCCTCCATCGAGCAGGTGGGAGAGTAAGCTGAGAAGCAAGAGCAAGTTGAGAGCTGGGGTCAGCACTGGTTACTCAACCCTGGTCATCCTGACAGGTTGGAGGGGAGGGGAGGCTAACTTAAGCCCAGTTAAGTTGGATGGGGCTGGAGTGGGGGAAACAATAAGGGACTGGGATTGTCTTGGCTCCCAGCCTGTCTCCAATCTTAGATAGCTTGAGAACAGAGGGAGAGAAGTTAATCTTGCAGGGGTTGGAGGGGCTTCTGGGAGAACTAGCATAGAAGGCAGTGGCAGAGAAAGAAAAAGGAGGTTGGGGAGCATTTACATAGGAAGTAATGAGACTTGGGAATCATTATATTTCCCTAGAGTGGTGGTTCTTAACCCTTGCTGGAGCTACAGTCATCTGAGGAAGCTTCTAGGAACACTGATGCCCAAGCACCATGCTTACAGATTCAGTCACTGGGTGGTGTGACGCCCGACCACTGGTGTTGTCATCAAAGCTCCACAGGTGGTTCTAACATGTAGCCAAAGTTGAGAACAAACAGCATCACCATAACTGGAGTTCATTCAAAATACACAGTCCTTAACCCCAGATCTGCTGAATTACAATCTGCATTTTAATGAGATCCTGAAGTGACTTGTAACTCCACTAAGTTTGATAAACACTGGGCAAAAGGAAAAAGGTCTGCAGGCAAATGGGAACTAGCTAGAGATGGGGCTGGGCGTGCTTCCCCCTCAGGTTTAGTCTGTCTTCCCTTTTTCATGAATGGCTGACCCCTCTAAGCTCCTCCTTCATCATCTTTTCTCTTATTGTTCCTCTTCCATATTCTTTGAACCATTTACTGTCACCTTGCTCTGTTTACAGTCATCCCTTCTGATCCCCTTGAATTCTGATGAGGGATACACCAGCACTGGGATGTGTTCTGTCCTTTGGTGCCCACACCCACCCAGGAGAGAAGGTCTCTATGGCTGTGTCATTAGGGCTACGTTGTTCTGTGTGTGGGTCTCCCTGATCCCCTCCCAGCCCAGAACTGTGCTATCATAAATCTGTCATCCTCAGCCTCCTCTCAGTGGTGTGGCTGGCCTATTGTCTGCGTGTCCCTCAGTGTCCACCATCTGCTGTCTATCGCCTAAGCTTCTAGTCGCTGCCATTTTGTGGGGTCTACAATGCCTTCTCTGATTCCTTCTGTTTTCTAAATTCTTGGGTTTAAGAAATATCTTTTAGTATTTCACCTCAGTACATCATCATATGTGAGCTGTTATAGAAGATATCATGAGCATTCAGCATGATCTTTCTGGTGCTCAAGTCAACTTTATGGGGTCCTGTTGTTACTTGTCTGGCTCTCCAACTAGACTAAGAGTGTAAGGAGGCTGGGAGCCAGGCCTCATCCTCTCATTTTTGTGTGTGCCCAGCATTCAGCAAAGAGCCTAGCACAAAGTAGACTCTCAATGTCTGTTAATGGAATTAGACTGTGTTTAATGGACAGAGTTAGTTGTTTAATGAACAGAACTAGTCTATTAAACATAGAAACAAAGGCATGATCAACCTATATGCTAAATGGAGGAAAACTGTATTTGTTTCCACCAATGTTTCTGAAAACAGAGGCTCAGGAATTGACTATAAGAATTACAAAGAAATTCCATGGTATATTTGATTTACAGAGTCCAAATTATCCTTTCACCACAAGAACATACTAAAACACTTTTTTTTTTTTTTTTTTTTTGGTATTTATTCTTCATTGGTGGCTAGTTGTTACCTTAAAGAATAGCAATGGAAGTTTAAAAAAAAAAGAATAGCAATGGAAGCAATAGACATTAATTGAGTGCTTTCTTTGTATGAGGCACTTTGGAAAGCACTTTTCTGTCGTACTATTATTAACTCTCTGAGGCAGGTACTCTTACTGGCCTCACTTTGCAGGTGAAAAACCTAAGGTTTTAGAGGTGATATTGACACAAAGTTAATAAATGTTGGGACCCATATTTGCACCCAGAGAGTCTGAATCTTAGAGCCAATGATCTTGTACTTTATTTGCTTACTTGCACATACAAAATAATCTTTCCCTATAGATTGGGATGTTCAAAAGTAGAAGATGAAAATAGGGAGATGTAAACTTATCTTGGAGGGACTAGTGTTTTTCCCACTAGCCTCTCTCTTTCCTCTCCCCACTGCTCCCTGCCACCCTTCCGGCATAAGGCTCCTTGGAGATCTGAATTCCACACCTGCCCCCAGCACTAACTAGTACTGTGAACTGAACCTTGCCCATAAAACCAGACAATTCCTACCCGGAAGAGAGGCCATAAGAAGGAGACACCAGAAACATTCTAGAGCAGACTTCCTATGATGGGTGGAAGCTATAATGGCCCCTGAAGGACCCTTTTTCACTAGGTCCTCTACTGAAGTTGGTCTAACTCCACTTCTGCTCCAAACCATACTACAATCAATTCAACTTGACATCACCCAGCATGGTCCAATGTCCTCCTCAATTCTATCAATTCTGGCATTTTGAATCAAGGTCACCAAAGATTAATGCCAGCACCCACCATTCTGCCCTTTATTGATTTCTGACACCCTCAGAGTTCTGGAGCAAACTTCACCTTATCTCTTAGCCCAGACACACTGCTTCTTTAGGCCTGGAGACTGAGGCACACCCACGTGTTTCCTGTAGAAAACAGACTTGGAATTCTGCAGGGGCTGGAGATAGCGCCTCAAGTGTTATTAGCCTGCTTCCAGGAACATTTGGGGCCATGGTTGCTGCCTTACCAGCCCAAGCTGGGTGACCCCTTTCATCACAGCCCTGAATTGTCCTTGGACTCGGTTGGACAATTTCTGTGGCCTGTCATGCTGGAACAGCTCAGGATGTGGATGTTTGTTCATGGAAAACTGTGAACGCTGCCCAGAGTGTCTCGAGCACCAGCCTACAGCCTTCAGCCCACGGATCCAAAGGCCGTGGGGGAGAGGCTTGACACCACAGAGGGTATGAGCGACTGATGCCTTGGGAAGCTCCCAGGAGGCCGAGGCCAGTGCCTGTGGGGACATGCCTGCTCTCTTCCCCACAGGACCTTCCCTGAGGCTCCCACTACAAGGAGTGCGGCTGGCGAGGGAGTGCTCCTGGCCACAGCTCTCCAGTCCAGGTGCCAACAGTTCATTTGGGTTATGCCAGCCCTGGTGATTGCCAGGGAAGAAAGAAAGTGAGGAAAGGAGGAGACTTTAAGACTTTAAGCAAGGCAGTGGGACATAATTGTGTCGCCTGTGCCTTCACTGGGACCCGGGAAGGGTGGCGACTTGGCTCAGGACTTGCAAGGAGAAACCATGCCTTGGATAGTTTGCTGAAGAAAGAAAGAAGAAGTAGCTTATTTGCCTGGCTCCCTGAAGCGTCCATTTTTCATTGGTCCCATTTTACCTTTAGGGGAGCTGACTCTTACATTTTGGGTTGCTTCATCCTGGCTACCAGGCTTTTCAGGATGTTAGAGACCATAGTTGGTGGGCCAGTGTTTCACCCAAGACCCAAAGTGGCATGGCAACCAAGAAGGGGAAAAGTGTGGTAGCTGGGGGTATCTAAGAAGATGCATAAGTTTGTGTCTTAAAACTTTACCCCTTTTCCCACTTAGGTCCACTCATACCTTCCCAATGTATGCAGCTCCCAAAACACAATATGGGGCTTCCCTTTTCTTCCTTGGGAACAAAAATATTCTCACTCTGCCTGTAAGAAGTTCAGGTCCAACCAGCTACAGATTCTTTTTTCAAGGCAGGTAATCATGATCTCCTGGAAGAAGAAGGCAAGAGTGAAAACAAGTCACATTGTCCACTTCCCTGCTGGTCTCAAGGCCGTCCAACAGCTCTTCCGTGCTGCCACCAGGTGGAGCCTTTGCACCCTCTTATTTTTCCAGAAGGCAGACTATTCAGCAAATACTCATTTCGCGATGTCTTCCTTAAGTTAATACGAGCCACTGAAACATTTTAAGCAGAAGAAGGGCATGCTCAAAATCAAATAAAAAACCATGGTGACATTTCTAAGGAGGATGGATTGAAGGAGGCCATAGCAGAAATAAGGAAAATTGTTAGGGATTTATTGAAATAGTCTAGGTGATAGGTTATTGCAGATTTGAATTTGGGCCATAGTATTGGGGTAGAGAAGAGGCCACAGAGTATATAACACATAAAATAGTTAGGCCTTGGTAATGAACTGATATAACTTGATATAATTGGGTTTATATCTACAATCCTAATATTTGTTTTCTATTTGGCCCATAGATTTAGTTCCATTTCTCCTTTTTTTATCGTTTGGAATATCCAAACATTTTTATACTTCCACTGTTTTCTTCTGTTGACTTATTGGTCATACATAATTTTACTATTCTTTTAGTGATTACATAAGGGATAAAAATATTCAAACTAGACTTATTTAATCTAATAGATATTATTAATTTTACAGGTTTCCCTTTTTTGGTTAGCATCAATATCTTGATCATCTTGATCATTTAGTTCTATTATCTTTTTTTCCCCACTTAATTATGGACTTGCCTTGTTACATATCATTTCATTGTATCCAGAAAACATGAAAAAAAGATAGGTGAAGCCTCCGTATGATGTGATCTTCCACCAGAGAGGGCAGATAGGATGAAGGCTTATCAGGGTTTGAGGAAAGTTGAGGCTGGGTTGCAGTCTGTCTTTGCTGCCCTTTCACAGGAGGGTCATTCTGTCCTTTTCATTGAGGGACATGCTAATCTCTATCATCAGCCCCAAAAGACTGAGGAGATCCTGCTGTGTTCTTCAGAAGTTCTCATCCCAGCTCTGGAGCCTCCTACTCTATGCCTTTCCTGTCAGGTCTCTGAAGGGAGAGAGTGGCCATGGGCTCGAGACTGGCCTTCCCTGCTCATGGGTCTTGTTTCCTGAAAGGGATAAAACACTCTGCCTTCTAGAAGCTTTCTGGATAGCTCCTCAGCCTCTCATATAGCCCCAGAACTTAGCAAATGTCACCTAGGGAGAAAAGGTTTATTTTCCTTCAAAAGGTTTATTTGAGGTTTATCAAGTTTTCCATTTGCCGTTTAGTCCTTCTAGTTTCCTGCAGAATTGGCCTGGGCCAAGGTCAAGCCTGTTGTCTCCATTCAGGATTGATAAATCCCTTGTGGGGTGTTTGTGCGTGTGTGTGGGTGTGGGGGGGTGGCTGACATTGTCAGCACATCTCTGAACACTTCTCTTTTCCCTGGAATCTTAGCTCATCTGGTTTTCTTCGATTTGACAGCTCTCCAAGTTCCTGTGTGCCCTTTGTTACTGAGCTGTTCTGACACTGGTCACCTGACTGCTTCTTCCTATTTCCTGTTATTCTCTGAAAAGCATATGTGAAGTCTTGGCTTGTGGCCACCATTCAGAGACTGGTTTAAAGCACATTTCACTGGAAGTTCCCAAGTGAAACTTCAGTAAAAGGACAACATTTTTGAAAATCAGAGGGGGAGATCCGTTCATGACTTGTTGCCTGGGAGTTCATTTCTCTCCGGGATCTATCTTCTGAGTCTTCACCTGCACCTGGTGGTAGTCTTCCAGTCACTTGCCCTGGTATTTATTGAGCACATACTAGGTGCCAGGCCCAGTCCTAGGTGCTGGGCATGTAGAATTTAACAATTCAATATCTCCCTGCCCACATGGAGCTCATATTTTCTAGCAGGAGAGAAAGAACAATAAACAAATACATGTATCAGATAGTGTCAGGAAAAGTAAGAAGGAATATAAAAACATGTGAATAGGATGGAGAGTAAGAAGACAGAGGGGTGGTGATTTAAGATAGAGGAGTCAGGAAAAACCTCTCTTGGAATGTGACATTTGAGCAGAGATCGGAACTATGGGAGACTATGAATCCTGTGTGTGTCTAGGAAGAAGAATGTTCTAGACAAACAGGCCAACCAACATAAGAGTGAACTTGGCTCACCCTAAGAAAAGCAAGCAGGTCATTTTGGCCAAACTGAAGGGAATAAGGCAAAGAGTGAAAGGAGATAAAGATGAAGAAATAAGCAAGAGCCAGATATTCTCTACCTTATGGATGTGATAAGGAGTTTGGGTTTATTCAAAATGTTATAAGAAGCCATCGAAGCAAGGGTGAGATAAGATCTAACTTATGCTTTCTATCTGAAGATCTGACCACCGAGGAATGAAAAAGGAATCAGGGAGTATGGGTGGAAAATTGTTGCTGTCACATAGGTGGACAAGGATGGTTTCTTTGGTCTAGATGGTAGCAGTGGGGGTGGTGAAGTGTGGTGAATTTGAAATAAATTTTAAAGGTAGAGTGAATGGAAATTTCTGATGAATTAGATGTGGGGCATGAAAAAGGGGGAAAAAAAAGATCTCATATTTTGATTCTGAACACCCGGGTGAATCTTTGGGCCATTTATTGAATTGAGTAAGGCTGGAGGGAGAGCTGACCAGGGTAAGGGGTTCACCAAACACAGGTAGCTGGAGACATGAGGCAGGAGTTCAGGGGACAGATCAGGGGTAAAGATGTGGGTTTGAGATTCTTCATTATCTAGATGTATGTAAAGCCCTGGTTCTGAGTGAGACCATCTAAGGGGAGGGAAGTATATTGACAAGAGGGTTGAAGACTGATCCCTGAGATGTTGGAAGAAGAAGGGGGTATCTGAACAAGATCAAGTTCAGGGGAATGGTAGGGGTGACCACTTAATCGATGTGGGTTGAAACCACAATGAAAAGAAGGTAGAAATGTAAGTAGAGAGCACACTATTTAGAAGGGTTGTGGTAAGGGAAAGCTGAGAAAAGAAGCAGCGGTTTGAGGGGGATGAGGGGCCTAAGGAGGGATATTTGTCTGCTTATGATGAGAGGTATTGCAGCATGGTTCTGGTTTCAGAGCTCAGGACTGGCTGGACAGAGCTTGCCCCCTGTACCTGGCAGGGGCGCTCAGAGGAGACTTTTGCCTGAGAACTTTGCTTGGCCAGGAGGGATGGAGCCCTTGGCTGGGACAGCATAAACAACACTGCTGGGCATATTGGGCTTAGCAGATCTCCCTTTTGTCCTGGAGTTTCAGAGTGAATTTTTTTCTAAAAGATTTTATTTTTAAGTAATCTCTACACCCAACATGGGGCTCAAACCCATAACACCAAGATCAAGAGTCGCATACTCCACAAACTGAGCCAACCATGTGCCCCTCATAATGAACTTCTCACTGGGGGGCCTTCAGCAACCCCATATGTGTTATCTCCCAGTTATTGGTGAAATTGGGGTCTAAGCAGCTGATGCATGGTTTTGAGGTCTATGGACTATGACAGGACAGTGGGGCTATGTGCTGGGTGAGTACAAGGACAAAGTGCACATCCATGTGTCTCTTTCTCAAGAGAGGATAATAAGGGAGGACCTACTGGTGCTATTCCCTCCATCTCTTTCCCTTCTCTGCCTTGTTTTTGAAGAAGTTGTAGAAGCAGGCCCTCCATACCCTCATCAGACACGAAAAGTAAGTTAATGTGGACTGACCTCATCTGAGGTCATAAGAATCCCATCAGAGAGTATGATTAAAGCATCTGTATGAGAATAGACTATCCCAGTTATCTTGTGTCATTGTGGAAATTGTATTAAACTAAAATCACGGTGAGACCTTGATTGAGTGTGTTCTCTTTGGGCCTAAGTTGTGTCACCTATAAAATGACAGCTTGGTTGGGGCGCCTGGGTGGCTCAGTTGGTTAAGCGACTGCCTTCGGCTCAGGTCTTGATCCTGGAGTCACTGGATCGAGTCCCACATCGGGCTCCCTGCTCGGCAGGGAGTCTGCTTCTCCCTCGGACCCTCCCCCCTCTCATGTGCTCTCTCTCATTCTCTCTCTCTCAAATAAATAAATAAAATCTTAAAAAAAAAAAAATGACAGCTTGGGCAGGACAAGACAATAGCTAAAGTTCCATTTCCTTAACAGTTCCTAGCTCTATGCTGAGTAGATTTTGAAGCTGTAGTGTGAATAGAGCTGGGGTTCTCAACCTTAGCTGCACAGTAGAATTATCCAGAGGAGCTTTAAAAGTTCCTGCAGCCAGGCTGCAGACATCACATCCTGTGCTCACAAAGCCCCCAGCCAACTGCAGCGTGAGGCGCTGAGGCTAAGAAGCGCGGCTTGAGAGCCTGGCTTCTCCCAGTGTGTTCACGAGCCAACACAGGCATGCCTCGGCTGCTAATTAGACGACCGACCTACTGAGTTAGAATTAACATTTTAACAAGATTCCCAGGTGATTCACCAGCAGGGGGAAAGTTGGTTGGGCGGGCTGTTTTAGAGCTGACATCTACTGGAGATAGCAAATTTGGAGTTCCCTAAAATGAGTTTTATTTATTATTATTATTTTTTTAAAGATTTGATTCATTTGACAGAGAGAGACACACAGTGAGAGATGGAACACAAGCAGGGGGAGTGGGAGAGGGAGAGGGAGAGGCAGGGTTTCTGCCAAGCAGGGAGCCTGATTCAGGTCTCCAGGGAGCCTGATGCGGATCCCAGGACCCTGGGATCATGACCTGGGCCAAAGGCAGATGCTTAACGACTGAGCCACCCAGGCGCCCCTAAAATGAGTTTTAAAATCTAATCGCAATACCGGGTTGTCTTGGTCATAAGTCAAATTTGTGAAGAATGAGCTTGTGAACCCTGAGAACACGTCTAAGGGAATGACCATGCACTTCTCAAGAATAAAGAGAGAATACAAGAAACATGCTAAACGTACTCCCTTTACTAGAAAAAAAAAAAAAGAAAGAAAATTGCCTGACTTATGTAAATATATGCCAAGATTTAGCTT